TTTTTTTTTTTTTTTTTGGCGAGCTTTTCAGCAGATTTCTGCTTGAAGTAGAAGAAAATATGGGTCAGGTGAGAATAATGGAGTAAGCCAGGAGGAACTTTTTCTCTCCCTCCAGGGTTTAGTTGCATGCTAGGGAACCTGAAGGGAAGGATTTAGACAGTTTGTGCCAAATCATCCTGATACCTAAACAACTCTCTCTTTGTGTTTAGAAATCCCTGGAAATGTTTTTTTCCAAGCCAGTTGGTTTGGTGGAATATAGGCCCGGCTGTTTTAGAAGGTAACGCCAACCAGGGAAAAGAGTTTCAAAATAGGTTGTTTTTTAAAACCATACCCAGACTAAAACAAATTGAAGTGTTTTTAAAACCTTGAAAATTAATTTAGTTGCCCTGGATATATTACATTTTATATATATATTAAGGGCATTTTAAAATTCCTGAGCTGTTTTTGTTTGATGCTGAGATTTTAGGTAAGCTTTAAGTTTAGAAACACTCATACAGGATGGATAGAAGTATCCCTCCGCCCTGAACAATAAGATGAGAACTTGGAGAGGTTAGTAAGAAGATGAATCATTGACTGAGTTGTGTGAGGAACTATGACTGAAGGCCCCTTGTTGTGGCCGAATTGTAGGAGAAGGTCCTGAAGCTACTTCCACAGACCGCTGCTGGAAACTCCACTTTCCGTAAGGCTCCTTTGCAGCACCTGTCAAAAGAGTTTCCTATCCATATTGCCATGGTGAACTCTGACTAAGCCATCTCTCTGTGAAAGCTGCTGTCTTGGGCAAGTGGTATGGGTGGCTGGGTTGGGAAACAGGGCGGGCACTGGGAGTGGAGAGAAGTGTTGGTTACAAAGGCAGTAGCTGATCAGTGGTCCATTCTGTTCTGACCCGAAGCAGATGGTCACTTTTGATCAGAAGGAATTTGGTGTTCTCTGTTTCTGGAAAGGAGAGGGTTCAAAAGGGAAAGAAATCAGAATGAGATCATTTGGAGGTGAAGTCTTCTGGAATGTGTGTAAGAGGTTAATAGAAACAGACTTAACATTCCTCGTTTCAATGTGTTTGTGCAAAGAAAAGAAAGGCAGCAGAGAAAAGCTTTCAAAAGGAAACTTTGGGTAGTTTAAAATAAAAAGAAAACAAACTGTAATGATGTGAACACAGCAAGTAGCCAGCAAAAATTTGAGAGAATCAAATTGGATTTCAGCTTTCAAAGTTTTCTGCCTATTTCTCTGGGGGCAAGGGCTGTATTTCTTGGTTGTCTGTGAAAATCAAAGTGTTCTTCTAAAGTTTTGGGTTTTTAAGCGTTTCCATATTTTCTTAGAAAGATTGGTTATGCATTTTAAAATCTTTCTATAGTCATTTAACATTCATTGCCAGAAATATCTGTGCTGCACATGCGGAGGCACAGACAGTAAATATATAGCTCTGAA